GTTAGTTACCATTCTATTATATCAAACCAGTCTGCTCATTTAGACCTAACCTCTGATATCAAGTTTCCTGTAAACCTAAACAACGGGTGTGTATGTCATCTTCTCCACAACTAGAGGCTTAAAGGTAGAGGCATTAAGTTCCTGCTATATAATCAGATAATTTAGCATCTGGGTGAGCAAGCAAATGAACAGGTTCACCATTCACAGTCAGGTATTTAACAGGGGAATACTCTTTTTTGCTCTTTGAAGAGCAAATCTGCACTAACGGTAATGTAAACAGATGCAGCACAATTTCCAAAAACAGGATCACAACTTTAAAGACTATAAACAAATATTCTTAACTTTGATTGGTCTGGAAGGATATTTGGCTGTGTTTAAACTTATTGGATTGACTGAAGTCAAAGCCTCTCCAATATTAATAAAAAACGACAACAAAAGAAATGCAGCAAACAAAAGCAGAATTTTCAAAAGCAAAATAATTACCAACATCTTTACACCTAGGAGACGCGTCTCAGCTGTTCTACACCCAATAAACTTTACAATAACATGCTGTTTATCCTCCCATTTTGGCCCAGACATGGCAAAATGTTCCACCAAATACCTGCAAATGGGGTGCATGTTGTTCCTGCTAATGCAAAGCAGGTGTGTGGAACTGTGACAGATAAGAGCGGTCGACTAGTTCAGGGAGATCTCTCACTATCCCACATCATAGTAAAAGGACAGTTAGTGATTATTTCATACAGCAAACAAAAGCAGACGAAATAGTTTGGTTGAGAGCATCAGAGATACATTTTTTTTTAAAAGATCAGAATTACCTCACTGTCACTCTTCACTCAGGTTATTTAACAGATGCCAAATGCAACACGTTTCATTTGCAGGATAAAACTTTTGTGTTTGTTATAACTCCCTAAGAGTCTTAAATAAAGGAATAAGGCAGACATCACTGAGCTGCAAATCATACAGAGGTCTCTGCTGGTTGCACAAAAAAGGCAACAGGTTGGTATGAGGTGTTCTTGCAGGTGTTAGAAGCAGAGAGGAAAGATTGAGACAGAAGAGCAGAGATGATAGATGGAGCTTATGTATGTATTAAGAACAAAGGATTTGAAAAGCAAATAAGTCAACCTATCAAAGCTACTACATTAATAATAAAATGAAGACAGCCAAGTAACATTGGAGCATCTCAATAAACTTGAATGACATTGAAAAGTTTGGACAGTTAAATAAAAAAATGTAAAATAATAAT